AAAAAGAGAGAATACTCGTGCTAAAGGGAGGAGCTGCTGCTGTGCGGGTCCACTGATGTTGCTGCTGCTGCATTATATCCTTTTAATGTAAAGCCAGTTTTGCAACCAATTCCTGTTTGTAATCACAACGCAGTCTGCCATTAGATATCTGCTCCAGGGCGGTGATGAGCGCGCAGTCGTTAAATGACGACGGCTCATCTTTCAGAAAACTGCAGTCGGGACTTTTGTGGCAATCTGCCAAACTAGAATTTGTGTTAATCTGTGTTCTGATGCGAGGTCGGTGATAGACGGGAGGTCACGAGATGAGCGGGAAAATAAGCCCATGGCTTTCATGTCACGACACGTCAGCAGCCGAGGACGTCTTTCCAAGAAAACTGCAGTTTTTGTGGAACAGCAGGTGTGTATTACAGTTCCAGTTTCCCCCTCTGGGGACAAAAACACCTCCTTACACGTCCAACGCTCGCTGACTTCCATGGCCAGCTTCCAGCTTTCTAAGAGCTGAGCACAGACCTGACGGGGCTGAGCAGCTGAAGCCGTCTGCTGCGAGGATGCAACCTCAGCCGTGCTTCCACATCTGCAGAAGCTCGGCGGATTCTCTGCTACACTTCCTGTTGCGTTTGCTGCATGTCTGCCGAGTAACACCCAGACTAAAAGCATCTGGCATTGTGCTCTGAACGGTGTCATGCAGTCCGGCTGCAGTACTTACAGTACACGGTGAGGTTGAAAGGGGTGGTGGTAGATTTCGTTGTCAGCGAGTTAGATGCTGTGCAGTAGATCGGACCCACCAGGTCCGTCCTCAGAACATTTTTGATGGTCAGCACGCTGGACGAGTTCGTCTGCGATACAAACCCGAGGACAGAAGACAAACAATGAGGATGACTCAGGTAGAAGTGAAACACCGACCCAAAGTTTCACATCAAACAACGCAGAAACAGTCAGGGTTGAACTGACCTTTATCTCTGTGATGCGCGTGCCGTCGACCACGATGGGCGCGCTGCCGTTGATCCATTTGAAGCTGAGCGAGGAGCCTATAGCGCTGCAGGTAAGAATCACAGTGCTGTTGTATTCAATGGCATCAGGGACGTTGGACTTGATGTCCACGTTGGAGACGGGCTCTGCAGGGAGGAACCAACACAGCAGCAGAGGACAGCATGAGCACAAACGTTCTTTCTGATTTTTTAAGGATTTTTCTCCTCGCAGCTTCCAAGAATGAATTGTTATTTTACATTTTGTCCTACCATCACTTTCTCTGAATACTCCACACCATTTTGTCTGGCAGAAATGAGTTAAACACACCCAGCTGCATCGTTTCCCCTTTGAATGAGGGCCTTATGGACGGTTAGCTTGACTGTGCAGAAGCAGATTAAGCACTGCTGGATTGTTGGTTTAAGGCCAACGTTTGCATCACCTCCTCGTTTGTAGATGATGACTAACCAAGTAAGCATCACCATAAAAGCTGAGCAGAGTTAAAGCAGCCTCTGTGTGCGAGTTAGAGCAGGTTGGGGATCTCAGCGAGGTCTACTAGCACTGCCTGCTGCCTTTGGCTCTCAGTGAGGGGAGGCCGACTCAGAGGACAAACATAAAACATTACTTCCTTTTCTAATTGGTTGTGAAGGACACAGGTTTGATTGGGTCGAGCCTGCTCAGGCCTTGCACTAGTTTGGGACTGTGTCAGGGTGTGTGAAGGCGAATATTTCCACAGATTAAAATTAATCAGCATCTTTATTTGTGAAATCCTACTACAAATGAGCAGCCAGCGGCGCAGGCCGGCTTCTCTTCATACAATTGTGCTCTGAAATCGTGATGAAGACGAAAGAGAAACAGAAGCAACCGGCTCGACTCGTTTGCAGTAATCCTGGAGCTACTGTTCACTGGTGATTAAGCAACAGTGGGTGTGTGGGAACGCAAAGGAGTGGAAACCAGTCGGCCTTCAGGAGCTTCACACCATCGCTACTTTGAGATTACTGTTCTAGGATAGCTTGGCTGACAACAGATAAGCTGACTGATCCACAGGAACATTAAAGATCCACTCTGGTGCAAAGAGAGTCAGTGGGTGTGGATATTTGAATTTGTGTAATTACTCCAGAAACTGCTTTACTGGTTTTATCAGGCAACAAAACCAGCACATGATATAGATCCATAATAACTAGAGTATTATTGGTCACCAGAGGTACAGGAGACAGAGAGACATGAGGGCACAGCTAACATGAAGGAAGCTGTTTGTGTTTCTCTGATTTCACTGGTGATTCTACACATGCAGCTTTTATGTCCCAGTAACAGAAATCAAGTTAGTCTTCTCTAACGTGACCTCCAAAATAAGAGCCTGTAGGCATGCTGGCAGGCTGAGTGGCAGGATGTTCCTGTTGGAGGTTTGTCATAGTTACAGCCAGCTCACATCACCTAATGATGCTGCTGCTTTACAATCTAGCTCACAGATCAGTATGAAGCCAAGCTCTCTAAGCCAGCCCACAGCTGCTGCTGCACCTGCAAGCTGCTTTGTAACCCACCTCCAAAGCAGCAGCTTTTCACCTGTGACCATAACGAGGACTCAGAAAAGAGCTCCAGCCACGAGGAGAACATTAAGCATCCAGCACATCCATATTCACACTGTCTGTGCACCACACACTCTGCTTATTATCACAGACACAATCCAGCAGCTGCAAAGCAACACCAGCAGCGTTTTGGGTTTCATGCAGCTGCTGAAGGACACATCTGGTTTATAATGTTAGGTCAGAACATCAGAGCTGACACACACACACACACACACACACACACACACACACACACACACGTGTGTATTTATATCCTTGTGGGACATCTACCTGACATAATGCTCTCCCCAGCCCCTGACCCTAACCCAGCCTAAACTGTAACCCTGACACTCAAATCACACTTTGGCCCCACAAAGCTGAGTACACACGGCCACACTGACTGGAAGGTGCAGTGTCACGAGCCACGCCCTCACACACTGCTGGTTATTTGAAATGAACGAGTTGCGGAGCCGCTAGCGCACCGGCGCAAAGATTTTTCCTCCTCCAACAGGTGGCCCTCGAAGGTCTGGATAAACTGTTCGGCTTCTAAACATCGCATAACTCGCTCTCTAAGACTGCAGGGATAAGCAGGCGTGGCTCACGGCTAAATTCCATTTTAAAAAGTGGGCATTGTACGGGCAGCTGTCCCGTGGGTACGTTATAAGCCCCAAACTAGACACTTTCAGTATTTATTAATCGCCCTGTGATCAGCTCGGCTCTGCCGCAGTCTCACACGACGCTTCCATTTATCTGAAGCCCCGCCTCTGCAGGTAACAGCACAGGTATGGCACACATTACTACTCACCGACCACCAGAAGTTTAGTCTCTCCAAATAGAGCTCTGGTTGTTATCACATTGACGTTATAGTCCCCACTGTCCCCAGGCGTCAGGGCGGAAAGGGTCAAGGAGCCGTCGGTAGAGTTAAGTGAAGCTCTCCCCGTGTAAGCGTCTTCCACGATCACAGTTCCACCAATAAATGTAGCCACACCATTTGGGCCATTGAAAGTCCAGGTTATGACGCTGGGCGGGTAACTAATCAGAGGTTTCAGGGTGACATTTCCCCCCACAAGTGCAGACACGGGACCTGCGGGCAGAATGCCCTGCCCCACACAGCATCCTGCAAGGAACACATTAGACAATAATAATAATAATAATAATAATAATAATAATAATAATAAGTAAAAACTACGAAAAGCTCATGAAGCAGCGGAGCGCTCGGAGCTTCATCCTCTCACCGAGCAGCGGCAGCAGGAGCAGGAGCGACTTCAGGGAGAGCGGATCCATCCGGACGGTTCAAGTGTTCCCAGCAGAGAGAGACACGGAGGAGACGCGGCAGTACCTGCTGCTGTTAGAGGGATACACCCAAAGGTGAACGCGCACACGCAGACTCCCTCTTTATATGCAGCCCGCCCTGCGTCACTCTTCCTGTTTCTTAAAGAGTTTAGATTTAAACCCTCCCACCTCCACGCTCAGGTGCCCCCCCCACACACACCTACCTTACCTCTGAGACCACTGAGCGCGGTCTTCTGCTCGTCCCCCGGCCCCCTGTGCTCACGGTGTGTCTTTACTCTGGGGGTTCTTGTGTTTGTTTCTGGTGTTTTTGGACACTGAGTGATTCCTAATAAAGTGGATATAACTCGTGACTTTACTGTTAGAGTCGTTTCCTGGAAATCAAACAGTATCTGCGGATGTTATGAAATGAACGTTGGATGAATGCATCATGTGTAACGCATCAAAGGCATGTCAGACACTTATGAGTTAGCCCATCTCTAACCATAACTGTGGTTGAATAGACGCACAAAGAAAGTGGACCTGCAGTTCAGTGAGGCGATGCTTCCACCCAGTGGAGAGACACTCAACGTGGAGCTATCAGCTGCAATGATCACACTAACACCTGCAAATATTTAGATATATAATCTGAATGCTAATTTACTGATTAGATTGTTCTAGGAGAGGCCCAACTCTGAGTACAGTCTGTATCAAAAGTACTGACAGGAAACTGCGTGCTTTTGCAGAGAAAATAGGAGCTGCAGCCAGAACGTGAAACTAAGCAGGGTGTTTGATCGAATCTTAAAGTGTGTGTGACGTCGAGAGGAAGCATATAAATAACTAGGCTTCCTTTTTGTGCTTATGTGTTCGTGTGTTCAGGTCTCCGTTCCTGGGAATGTAAATAAAAGATAATTTTTTGAGCTTTGACCACTTTGAGTCGTGTCTTTCTTGGCCGTTCAAGAATACAAAGAACTGGATTTAATAGCTATCAGCTGCAATGATCGCACTAACACCTGCATGAAACTTTGTGGAAGTGAACAGGAAGCAGGCAGAATTCATTACACAGAAGTGTGTCGGCATTACGTCAGGGCCGAGTCCAACACAGTTTACCTTTACAATGCATTGAAGTGTTTTCTATGACCTTATTCAAAAGGGTAAACTTGTATATATCCTAAGGTGACCATATTTTGATTTCCAAAAATAAGGACACTTAGCTCAGTCATGAAGAACTTGCTTAAAGAAACATATTTAACATATTTAAATGACACCTCTGTGCGGTTAATGAATTATGAAATAAAATATGTCATATAGGTTTTACAAGTCAACAAGCGCAAAACAAAATATCCTCTGGAATTAAATAGTGATACAGAAATAATGGCTCATCTGCATAAGAAAAATTACCAGTACTGGGTCGGTATGAGGGCTGGACTGGGACAAACAATTGACCCGGGCATTTTGACTAGAGACCGGCCCAGCAGGTATTACAGGAGAAGCCATAAAGCCTTTGAATGAAAACGAACGCTGCTGTGACAGTGATGTACACTCTTGTTGGTTTATGTATGATTTCTATACATTTTACATCATATGACCACTTTGGTTGTAAGATTCAGATAATAATTTAATAAAAGCGAGATATTGTTAATTCCCTACCTGCCCCCTGGCAACACTTTGCTAGACCCGCCCCTGCACAGTTACCAGCTGTCAGCTACTTAGAAAAGGATCCTGGTGTTATTTGTCTCTCAGAAACAGTTCATAACTTCAACTCATTCATGTCACCTAAAAGGTAAACCTGTTTCTCCATCACAGCTCTGATGATTCAGTAAGGACATCTCCTGGTTTCATCTTCATGTTTCCCTCTCACCACATATCCAAACCGACATCATAACACCATCAGTAACATCAAAGCACCACCCAGCTGTATAGAAACTCCGTCATGCTAGCTAGTAGCAGTACGAGTTATTGTAACTGACTGTAAAAAGTCAGCACAACGAAAATAAACTCCACCTAAACTTGGTTCATATCTGACCCAGATAGACTGCAGGTCATAACTTCTTACCTGAAGTTCAGTTCACCTGACACTCGGACCGGCGGCCGCCTCGGGTCTCTGCTCCTCCTGCCTCCCCTTTCCCTCATCCACCTGCTGGCCTCTGTGGAAGCCCGCCATAGCCACCACCAAACAACTGAGTTATTTTTACACATCGACCAGCATCTGGCCAATCCACCACCTCTCATTGTTTATACCGTTACAAAAACAACAACAACAGCAACAACAAAACCATCGGTCTGTAAAGCTATGGTGGTACGAGGGAAATTTCTTTTGCAGTTCGTCTGATAAGATGCACTTGTGCTTTGGGATCTTTTAAACATCATTAGGCGCGTTGTCAGTCCCGCCTGTGAGCGCAGAACAAGCACTCACAAAGCAGCAGTTCGGGGATGATGTCTCACACGTGGGCCCTCTGTCGGAATACAGGAAAGCCCAGACATTTTTATCAGTCCCCCCGGACGCCCGGATAGAACGTGAAAAGTGGACATGTCCGGGGGTAAGAGGACGGTTGGTCACCCTAATATATCCCATATTCAGAACACATAATGTGAAATGTGGTTTGTTGCCCAGGGCAACACCGTGGCATAGTTGTGCAGACAAGGAAAGAGCGTATCCAAAGCTTTACTGAGGAACGGAGAAACAGCCTCTTCCCAATTAAAAAAGACAAAACACTCTCTGCTACGTTCTCTGTCCGTCTTTGGGGTGGAACAAATCTAAGCCATGAAAAATTAAAGCAGCTCTGGAGGAAAAAGCAGTTCAGCCTGATACGGGCAAGGTGCATCGTGTGGGTATGAAGGCCTCTAGGCCTTTCTTATCACAGCTGTGCAGTGAGATACAGAGCATCTCTTGCTCAGTGCAAACATGTGGGAGAAGAAACAGTATTTGTGCTGTGGTTTCAGCAGGCATTAACACACACACAGGAACACCGGAGAAAAACATACAGAACAAAATGCAGCAGTATATGGACACAACAACGTTTTACAGTGAGGGACGTTGTTCTGTTCACAGCTTGCCTCTGCACATCTTTACTTCTGACAAACCGCCTCTAAGATCCTCTTTGAACTTCCGGTCATGTGACTGACCTGCTGCCAGTGGACCAGATTAGCTGAGAGCTGTTTCTCTTCAGAACCACCGAGTACTTTTCCTCAGACACATGCTGCTGCCATCAAATCCAAAGTGAGCGCATATTAAGGCTGTTAACATAAACAAAGCAAACATTCAAACATTACATGTTTTCTGTGCTCTGTGAATAAAATGTGTCTTCATGAGAAATCATGGCTTCTGTTTCTGTTTTGGAACAAAATGTAAAACACAGTGTTTCCTTTTTCTAATCTTTGACAGTCAGCAGTCATCTGCTGCTAAAACCATCCATCCATTTGCTTATCCTTTTCAGGGTCGCGGGGGGCGCTGGAGCCTATCCCAGCTGTCATAGGGCGAGAGGCGGGGTACACCCTGGACAGGTCGCCAGTCTGTCGCAGGGCCAACACACAGGGACAGACAACCATTCACACTCACATTCACTCGCACATTCACACCTAGTGACAATTTGGATTATCCAATTAACCTATCCCCACAAGCTGCATGTCTTTGGACGGTGGGAGGAAGCCGGAGTACCCGGAGGGAACCCACGCAAACACGGGGAGAACATGCAAACTCCACACAGAAAGACCCCGGCCTGATGGTGGAATTGAACTCAGGACCTTCTTGCTGTGCGGCAACAGTGCTAACCACCGTGCCACCGTGCTGCCGTGCTGCTAAAACCATCAGACTTTATGTAGTCTGGTAACAGAGTGAAAAATAACTGCTGCTGTGACGCTGTCACTTCCTGTGCCAATGAACCACAGCTATCTGACCACATCTATATGCAGCACACACCACCTCATGGTTACCAGCAACACAGAGATCGAGACCCTTCTCACTCAGTCTTCACTAAACCGTTAAACTGACTGTGTGAATGGAAGGATGGGTGTTTTTGGCTGAGGGCCCTTCATTGTAAGAACCAGCACGATCTACACCACTATGATCTATATTCATATCTCGTTTCTTTTCACCACTGAGGAACAAACTGTGGTCTCTTCCACAGCATGTCTTTATCCTGTCTTCCTTCTCTCACCCCAACCGGTCGCAGCAGATGGCCCCGCCCCTCCCTGAGCCTGGTTCTGCCGGAGGTTTCTTCCTGTTAAAAGGGAGTTTTTCCTTCCCACTGTCGCCAAAGTGCTTGCTCATAGGGGGTCATATGATTGTTGGGTTTTTCTCTGTATCTATGAAGCGCCTTGAGGCGACTTTTGTTGTGATTTGGCGCTATATAAATAAAATTGAATTGAATTGAATTATTAACAGATTTGTTCTAGGAAAGTGACACTAGCTTCACAGTAGTGAATTGTCATCCAGAGGCCAGAGCAGACAGACGACGAGGGAACCTGCAAAACATGTGACTCTGAGCTTTTCTCTGGTCCCCTCCCCAATCAGACCAGGAGTGACATGTTTAGCCGCATGTTCTCCTTAAATTGCTGGCTGTCTGAGTGGTGTCCCAGAAACGATGTGGGCTTCATAGATAATTGGCAAACCTTCTGGAGGAAACCTGGTCTTGTTAGGAGAGACGGCATCCATCCCACTTTGATGGAGCAGCTCTCATTTCTAGAAATATGGACAATTCTTCAACGCACATATTAAACAAATATGTAAGACTGCGTTCTTCCATTTGTGCAACATCTCTAAAGTTAGAAATATCCTGTCTCAGAGTGACGCTGAAAAACTAGTTCATGCATTTATTACTTCCAGGCTGGACGACTGTAATTCATTATTATCAGGAAGTCCTAAAAACTCCGCCCTGCGACAGACTGGCGACCTGTCCAGGGTGTACCCCGCCTCTCGCCCTATGACAGCTGGGATAGGCTCCAGCGCCCCCCACGACCCTGAAAAGGATAAGCAAATGGATGGATGGTTTTAGCAGCAGATGACTGCTGACTGTCAAAGATTAGAAAAAGGAAACACTGTGTTTTACATTTTGTTCCAAAACAGAAACAGAAGCCATGATTTCTCATGAAGACACATTTTATTCACAGAGCACAGAAAACATGTAATGTTTGAATGTTTGCTTTGTTTATGTTAACAGCCTTAATATGCGCTCACTTTGGATTTGATGGCAGCAGCATGTGTCTGAGGAAAAGTACTCGGTGGTTCTGAAGAGAAACAGCTCTCAGCTAATCTGGTCCACTGGCAGCAGGTCAGTCACATGACCGGAAGTTCAAAGAGGATCTTAGAGGCGGTTTGTCAGAAGTAAAGATGTGCAGAGGCAAGCTGTGAACAGAACAACGTCCCTCACTATAAAACGTTGTTGTGTCCATATACTGCTGCATTTTGTTCTGTATGTTTTTCTCCGGTGTTCCTGTGTGTGTGTTAATGCCTGCTGAAACCACAGCACAAATACTGTTTCTTCTCCCACATGTTTGCACTGAGCAAGAGATGCTCTGTATCTCACTGCACAGCTGTGATAAGAAAGGCCTAGAGGCCTTCATACCCACACGATGCACCTTGCCCGTATCAGGCTGAACTGCTTTTTCCTCCAGAGCTGCTTTAATTTTTCATGGCTTAGATTTGTTCCACCCCAAAGACGGACAGAGAACGTAGCAGAGAGTGTTTTGTCTTTTTTAATTGGGAAGAGGCTGTTTCTCCGTTCCTCAGTAAAGCTTTGGATACGCTCTTTCCTTGTCTGCACAACTATGCCACAGTGTTGCCCTGGGCAACAAACCACATTTCACATTATGTGTTCTGAATATGGGATATATTAGGGTGACCAACCGTCCTCTTACCCCCGGACATGTCCACTTTTCACGTTCTATCCGGGCGTCCGGGGGGACTGATAAAAATGTCTGGGCTTTCCTGTATTCCGACAGAGGGCCCACGTGTGAGACATCATCCCCGAACTGCTGCTTTGTGAGTGCTTGTTCTGCGCTCACAGGCGGGACTGACAACGCGCCTAATGATGTTTAAAAGATCCCAAAGCACAAGTGCATCTTATCAGACGAACTGCAAAAGAAATTTCCCTCGTACCAACCATAGCTTTACAGACCGATGGTTTTGTTGTTGCTGTTGTTGTTGTTTTTGTAACGGTATAAACAATGAGAGGTGGTGGATTGGTCAGATGCTGGTCGATGTGTAAAAATAACTCCGTTGTTTGGTGGTGGCTGTGGCAGAGCTTCCACAGAGGCCAGCAGGTGGATGAGGGAAGGGGAGGCAGGAGGAGCAGAGACCCGAGGCGGCCGCCGGTCCGAGTGTCAGGTGAACTGAACTTCAGGTAAGAAGTTATGACCTGCAGTCTACTCTGGGTCAGATATGAACCAAGTTATGAGTTTATTTTCGTTGTGCTGACTTTTTACAGTCAGTTACAATAACTCGTACTGCTACTAGCTAGCATGACGGAGTTTCTATATCAGCTGGGATGGTTTTGAGTTCCACTGATGTAAGTGTGTATGATGTCAGTTTGGATTATGCTGGTGAGAGGGAAACATGAAGATGAAACCAGGAGATGTCCTTACTGAATCATCAGAGCTCAGTGATGGAGAAACAGGTTTACCTTTTAGGTGACATGAATGAGTGTGAAGTTATGAACTGTTTCTGAGAGACAAATAACACCAGGATCCTTTTCTAAGTAGCTGACAGCTGGTAACTGTGCAGGGGCGGGTCTAGCAAAGTGTTGCCAGGGGGCAGGTAGGGAATTAACAATATCTCGCTTTTATTAAATTATTATCTGAATCTTACAACCAAAGTGGTCATATGATGTAAAATGTATAGAAATCATACATAAACCAACAAGAGTGTACATCACTGTCACAGCAGCGTTCGTTTTCATTCAAAGGCTTTATGGCTTCTCCTGTAATACCTGCTGGGCCGGTCTCTAGTCAAAATGCCCGGGTCAATTGTTTGTCCCAGTCCAGCCCTCATACCGACCCAGTACTGGTAATTTTTCTTATGCAGATGAGCCATTATTTCTGTATCACTATTTAATTCCAGAGGATATTTTGTTTTGCGCTTGTTGACTTGTAAAACCTATATGACATATTTTATTTCATAATTCATTAACCGCACAGAGGTGTCATTTAAATATGTTAAATATGTTTCTTTAAGCAAGTTCTTCATGACTGAGCTAAGTGTCCTTATTTTTGGAAATCAAAATATGGTCACCTTAGGATATATACAAGTTTACCCTTTTGAATAAGGTCATAGAAAACACTTCAATGCATTGTAAAGGTAAACTGTGTTGGACTCGGCCCTGACGTAATGCCGACACACTTCTGTGTAATGAATTCTGCCTGCTTCCTGTTCACTTCCACAAAGTTTCATGCAGGTGTTAGTGCGATCATTGCAGCTGATAGCTATTAAATCCAGTTCTTTGTATTCTTGAACGGCCAAGAAAGACACGACTCAAAGTGGTCAAAGCTCAAAAAATTATCTTTTATTTACATTCCCAGGAACGGAGACCTGAACACACGAACACATAAGCACAAAAAGGAAGCCTAGTTATTTATATGCTTCCTCTCGACGTCACACACACTTTAAGATTCGATCAAACACCCTGCTTAGTTTCACGTTCTGGCTGCAGCTCCTATTTTCTCTGCAAAAGCACGCAGTTTCCTGTCAGTACTTTTGATACAGACTGTACTCAGAGTTGGGCCTCTCCTAGAACAATCTAATCAGTAAATTAGCATTCAGATTATATATCTAAATATTTGCAGGTGTTAGTGTGATCATTGCAGCTGATAGCTCCACGTTGAGTGTCTCTCCACTGGGTGGAAGCATCGCCTCACTGAACTGCAGGTCCACTTTCTTTGTGCGTCTATTCAACCACAGTTATGGTTAGAGATGGGCTAACTCATAAGTGTCTGACATGCCTTTGATGCGTTACACATGATGCATTCATCCAACGTTCATTTCATAACATCCGCAGATACTGTTTGATTTCCAGGAAACGACTCTAACAGTAAAGTCACGAGTTATATCCACTTTATTAGGAATCACTCAGTGTCCAAAAACACCAGAAACAAACACAAGAACCCCCAGAGTAAAGACACACCGTGAGCACAGGGGGCCGGGGGACGAGCAGAAGACCGCGCTCAGTGGTCTCAGAGGTAAGGTAGGTGTGTGTGGGGGGGGCACCTGAGCGTGGAGGTGGGAGGGTTTAAATCTAAACTCTTTAAGAAACAGGAAGAGTGACGCAGGGCGGGCTGCATATAAAGAGGGAGTCTGCGTGTGCGCGTTCACCTTTGGGTGTATCCCTCTAACAGCAGCAGGTACTGCCGCGTCTCCTCCGTGTCTCTCTCTGCTGGGAACACTTGAACCGTCCGGATGGATCCGCTCTCCCTGAAGTCGCTCCTGCTCCTGCTGCCGCTGCTCGGTGAGAGGATGAAGCTCCGAGCGCTCCGCTGCTTCATGAGCTTTTCGTAGTTTTTACTTATTATTATTATTATTATTATTATTATTATTATTATTATTATT